CCCCACCCACACCCCACCATCGTGTGCACCCCATTCTTCCCGCCCTCCCCCAGCGTCCCCTTTTCATTAAGGGTTGGTTGCTATCATGTGATACCGCGAAGCTAAAACCCCAACATGCAGACTGTCTAAACGCCCACTCCTGTTCGCAAAACCTGATCATTCCAGTCTGCTACCTCTTCAACCACCCCCGCCACCCACCCCCCACCATTGTGTGCAGGCCCCCTCCTTCCCCTCCCACCCCCAGCATCCACCTCTCTCAACCCTTTCAACACGGGATTCAGACTGGCCAAACCATTCGGAGATATACAGGAAGACCCAAGGCTGTCATCGATCGCGGCTTGCTTTGCACAAAACTGTCAAACCGACACCACCCCATATATAGGGCCTAGCAGAAGATTCACTCTCGGTTTGCACATTTCACTACTGAGTAGTGGAGTTGCACCACTACCCTCGGCATGCACAAAAGACAGAAACCTTGGTCTAGCGGAAGATTCACTCGTGTTTTGCACATTTCGCTACTGAGTCGTGGAGCGAGGGCCATAGTGAGTTGTGCAAACCCCCACCATTCTCAAAGCTACTGCTGGTTTCAGGAATTCGGCATCCTACAAAACATACCGCCTTTGCACTGCAAGACTTTCCAGTGAGCCTTGCCGTGATCTAATCCTGCCTGCTTGACGAGCACCTCACCTCAACTCCCGACTACAGTTGAAATCCGTCGAATGAGAACGATGTGATTTCGGTCGCATGCCGGACATCCTCGCAACTGCAAGAATTGAGCGTAGCAGCCCGGATTTTGAAGTACGACGGAGGGATTTTTGATATTTTTTCCTTCATAGCTAGCAGGTAACCGGAGGTTGGCAAGATGTACGGCTGTGCCAGTCTCTCAGATTATGTTCGGCCGACTTCCCTCAGCGGGTCTCTTCACCATTTACCTTGTAGTACCTTCGACAGCACCAAATTTCGCAGGATTGATCTGATGTAACAGGCCAGCCAGTCCTTTTCCTACACGAGGACGCCGCACCAAACGCTCATGAGAGGCCGCGCCAGGACACGACCCAACTATTGCAGTCTCGTCGCAAGGAACATGAAGGAAAACAACGTGCCTTTTAGCAGCTAGCTCAATCTCTCACAATGCCCCTTGAGAGGCCAGGGACGGACACGGGCCATCGATTACCATCTTGTCACAAGAAGCATCGAGGAAATCAAGTGCCTTGGTTCCTGTGCATTGCAGCTAGCTCGATTTCTTACATCGCCGCCCCTTGAGAGGCCACGGAAGAACGTCGCCCGACTATTGGAGTCTTGCCGGAACAAGCACGGCGGGAATCGAGCGCCCAGAAAAGCCCCCACACCCCATATCCGGCACAACATAAGAACATGGTTCTTTCTTGCAAAAGGCTCAGACAGCACAGCAGCGGCATGCCTGACCATGCTGGTATTCTCAGTGACATGGCAGTTGTTGCAGGAGTAATGTGTCGTCTCAGTTGCTACGTTGATGTCAAGAGGAAATCTGAGCTTATGCTGGCAACGACCAGAAACCATGCTCGGTCGCCGGGTTACGTATCCTTATCGAAAATAACCTTGCAGAGATATGGACGGTTCGAGATCTGTGAGATGAACGCCATTCCGCACGGCCTGAAAGGGCTTTGAATGGCACACAGCCAGCCACCAACTGTGCAAAGGGGAACAACGAACGCACCATCTCACACTTTACCGAGCATACACGATTGCATCAGCTGTGCATATCCGGCGGCCATCAGAAAGTTGCTAGGATAAGATTACCAAAACTCCATAGACGACGGAATCATCGAGATGACGAACGGTCACAAAATGCCTCCCACAACGCATTTCCGCATCAGTTGTCGAGAAAGTTGCTCGGATAAGATTGCCAAAACTCCACATAGACGACGCAATCATGGAGATGACGAACGGTCGCAAAATGCCTCCAACAGCACATTTGCACATCAGTATGCGAGAATGCGCCGGCCCTGTCGACGCAAAACGGAGAAACTCGGTGAGGGATGGAGTTTCAACGACCACCACCACGGGCACATGATGTACCTACCACATCTGTTTTTAGGCCCAACCGCACAGCAGAACAGCCCAAAAGGACACGCGTTCCGGCCGAACAGTAACTAGCACATTTATTGCAAGATGTGCGGAAGATGCCACCTCGGCTCCACCCCACTGGACCGTTCACTTAGCTGCTGCAGCTCGCGCTTGGCTGATCGCACAAACACCAGACACCACAGATGGCCGCAAGAGACACCGTTCGCGCTATGCACTGCCTTCACCAAAAATGGGAAAACTTCGCCGAAGGAGAAGACGATAACCTGAAACCACTTCCAATCACAACTTTGGCACAGCACGTTTGCACAGCTGTCGTAGCGAAATTTACTCACACTAGGGAGTTTTTTTCTGCGAAGCTCTGGCCGCGATTGCAGTCAGGTTCATCCAGGTCTGGCCCAACTTGCGGTCACATGCATTTGGGAAAGTGGTACTGTGTGAGTATGCCCTAACACAGCCTGAAACCACTTCCAATTCCAGTTCTTATGACAGCAGCCTAATGCATGGCAAATTCGTGTTTAGCCACCGTTAACTTTTCCACTTTGCACCGGCCTGTGATGTTAGGGTCGTCATGAATGAAACTGTCATCGCACAGCGTACATCCCAAGAAATACGTACCTGAGGTTTGAAAATGTCCGCTTTCCGATTCCACTTCTTATCAAAGCAGTCTGACGCGTGGCAAATTGGGAATTGAGTTAGACCACCAGTTCCTTTTCACCACGCCGACCTGTGACATTAGGGGGCCATCATGAAAGAATTTGTCCTCGCACGACCAGCCCACACATCCCAGCACCTTAACCGGCGAGCCTCTCGGGACTTGGTGGTTTGAAGAATGCTCCGCTGCAACCGGAAGCTGCTCCACTACAGCCGGAAGCTGCAACGTAACTTTCTTCATGAATGACTCTGTCCTCACACGTCACGCCCTCTCATATCCAAACATGTTAACTTTAGCGTGTTTGCGAAGCACTCCTGGTTTGAAAATGCAGGATAGCCACAACTGCAAGGTGCGAATCGATTTCCTTCTACCACCTTGCCATCCGTGTATAAAAATCGGACCTTCCCAGCAAGTGCCAACTCAGCAGGGACGGCATCCTGTGTGCCATGTTGTCACAACCACTGCTGCACAACACGGAAGGCGGTCGCTGCCGCAAGAGCACCGGCTGCAAATGCAGCAGCAACGAGAAGCACAAACATTACTGCGGCGCTGAACGGAGGAGTGACAACTGCCAACGCAGTCAAGAAACCGGTAGCCAGTACAGGTGCAGCAGTGAAGCTAACGACCGCCGACGCAGTGAGGAAACTGATAGCAATCACAGGTGCACCAGTGAAGGTCACATCGGCTGCAACTGGCCTTAAAAGAGAGTCATCATTGCACCAATCACCACCGCAAACACAAAAAACTACTCCAAAGCCGGCCTCCTTCGGTTTCGGTGCTCATCTAGCGCCGTCACCACCCACCTCCTTCCCGTGAGTGGGATATTCCGCAGGACAGGCATTCCGTTCCGCCTTCTGCTTGCACCATCCAGCCATTTCCATCCACTCCTCCCTCCTTCAGATTAGAGACTTTCCTGACAAAAAAAATCCTCCTCTCGATTGTGTGGTCAACCACCACCACCTCCTCCATCTCTCAGGCTTCCATCGCCAAGAACAGTCATATGCCTCCTTTACAGCGCCAGTGCTCTGAAGTGAATCCTGACACCCCTTCCTAACACCATGCGTGCCTCAATCCATCCGTTCCTTCGCTACCGGATAGTGCAAACCCCGTTTATAGTAGGGAAACAACCGACCGCCCCCCGCAAGATGCGTTCGGAATGGAAGAGTTCTTGCCTTAGACGTGCACAACCCACCCCCTCCTTCCTGCAAGCTCAGCCCTCCAGAAAATCCATCCACCTGCTGTCCTGCGATGTGTACGCATCCTCTTACGAGATCCCCACCTTTCCTCACCAGGGCAAACTCACTATCTATCGTGTGCTCTCGACGCGTTCCAGCAACATCGCCCCCATCTGCTCCGATTCAAAGAGACGCGCCACATACGGTAAATCGAAGAGTCACGATGCCGTTGCCAAGCACCTGACCAGTACCCTGAACTCTATCCATTTTTTCAGTCTGACTCCAGGACAACAGCGTAAGACGCTGCGCCAAGACGGATGGCCTGAGGAGATCACGCGACAAGCATATTGAGAGCCAGAAGTGAACAAGAAAACAGCAACGGAATGGGCGAACTGGAGACGGAATGAACTGTTAGGGCATACTCACAATATTCTGAGAGACTGAATCTGCCCACGTACAATCCAATATAAGTCCCAGTGTCAGTATTGCCGTATTGCCCCTGGAAGATAGGCACAGAGATCAATATGATGCATATAGATTGAAACTGGAAATCGGTTTCTAGGCCAGACAGGCACGCAAACCAATCTCCGCATTCCCGAGCAAGAGAGCCGGCGTAAGAAAGATCGCATCTGTGCTAGTCGCACAAACTCGATAGGCTTCCAGCACCCTACTCTCCCCCGGGGTCCAGTCAGGCAGCCACAGAGATCTGGAATACGGACCAAGAGAGAGTGGAAGAGTCAGTTTTCAGTCCCAAGAGGCAACCAGAGCACTCTATTCCACGCAGAAACCGCGGTTGTGCTGGTAAAGTACATGATCGACAATCTTCCGACCCTACCAGCTAGATCTCCTGTCACGTACACCATGCAAGCCCATCCATTCTGGAGTTTCTAGAACTGAAAATGCGCACACAGTACATCACAATCACAGTGGAAGATTCCAAGTTAAGAATACAAAGACGAGGCCTAGTGGGCATGAAGAGGGTAAGCGCAATGGTCAGTCTAAAGTATGGTGGCCAGGCATTGGGACTTCAAGAAAATCCACTTCCATTCAAAACACCCACAGCAGTAGAAACTCTAAAGAACAAGAACACAACAGACAGTGATCCCCGCCGCATCTCTCTCTCTCTCTCTCTCTCTCTCTCACACACACACACACACACA